ACATTTTCAAAAGGTTTGCGCCTCTTGCAACTAACCAAATACTGGTAAAACAAAGAAATTTAGATTTGTAAAATATGTTGGGCAAATATTTATTGCACGTTTAATCCGTGGAATAGAAAATTCCTAAGCGAATATTTTTTTTTTATTGATTGCGTACAATATGACTAAAAATCATTGTTAAAATTAATTCCATAATAATAGTTTTTAAAAAGGAGACAACTTCCACTTTCAAATCATTATAAAAATCCTCGGTTTAAACCCATCTTCTTTTCATCAAAAAATACAAAAATCAATATTTTTATATTATAATCATTATTTGTTCTAATACATTTATTAAAATCATATTTCTGTTTATTAATCTAAATATAAAAATATCTTTATTCTAACGCACTTTCAAATGAAGAATTTTATCTTAATCCTTGTTCTTGTTCTTATGTCTTTCGGATCCTTCGGAGCCTTAGCTGCTGTAACTCCAGCACCTCGCACAGGTCATGCTTTAAGTGTTAATGCTCAGTATTGCCCAGTTGGATATAGTAAATGTTACTACAATGATAGTTGCTGTAAAACAGGCTATTATTGCTGTACGGATTCCCTTGGAGGGTGTTGTCCAAATGGATCATCTTGTACTCCTAATGAATATACATGCTCACACTATTGATATAGTAGAGAAAGAAGATTCATTTAAAACCAAGTAAAATATTGCATTGGATTTTTCATCAATATGTATAAAATTTTTGTTATAAAATAATTCAATATTTAGTATACGAAAAATAATCATGTAGTTAGTTTATATTTTATTCGCTTATTTTTCTATTATGTATAACTGTAATAATAAAAACATTGATATTAACTATTTATTATTATTAATTTAATCAAATCGTGTTTTATTATTATTGGGGTGATGTGTTTGGATACGAAATTCAAATTGACTACGTACGTGAATTCTAGCCCGTATTATCAAGGATAGATTATACAAGAAAGGTTGTGTTGCATTATTCATTGTAAAATATTTGGTGGGACAAAACACATAATAATGGTATAAAAAATTTTTTCAGATAATGTATTAGTATGGTTTTTCTGTGCATTTTGTATGGAATATGCACGGAATTATACATGAAAAGAGCACTTTTCCGTACATATTTGTCCTGAAAATGCACAGAAAATGCATATGAAAATGTACGGAATGTAATTTTCTGAAAATTCCATACATATTCCATGCATTTTTCCATGTACTTTTCATACATTTTCAGGGCATTTTCAGGGCAAATATGTACGGAAAAGC